AGAGCGGGAGAGGGGTGAATGGGTCTCAGCAGTCAGGGAAGCGATCAACTACCAAAAGCCGGAAGGCAGGGTTGGGTCCCGTGCCCCTATTCACGTGTGTTAAGTGGTGCTAAAGGAAGCTCCTAGGACGCAGGGTCTCTGTCATTAGGTGTTGCTGGGGCAAGCTGTGATTCTATGGGCAACTCTGAGTTTTCTCAGGCAGGCACTGAGTGGGGCTGGGGTCATCCCAGCATGCGGCCATGAGCTGTTAGAAACTAAGTTTGCTTTTATTTAAGTCTTTAGAGGCCAAGGGTAGAGGCCTAAGTGAGAAAAGGGCTCAGTGGAGAATTTGGTCCAGACGAGAATCTTTGTCAGCCACAGGGGTGCTGAGAGGTGGCAGTGCACAGCGGGCTGTTACAGACCTGATTTTCACAGGCTGTAAGCCCAAAACGTGAGACGTGCACGTATTAGGGGTTAAACTTTAGGTGATTTCTGAATGTCTCTACCTCTCATACTATTCTGTGATTACGACATAAAGTGACTATACAGAGCAGTAATGATAGCTAATATTTATTGAGCATTTTATGTGATATGTATTATACTAAAGCCTTTACATTATTTATTAGTTAACTTATTCCTCACAAATATCTTTAGGGGTATTATGATCCCTCTTCTGCAGCTAAAGGAAACAGGCTGAGGGAAGGGCTAAGGTTGCAGAGCAAAAACGTGGCACAGGGCTCTTTACCAACATGAAATAGACTGACAATGACAATCTCTCTCTTCCTCATAAACTGGTTTCTTCCTTGCTCGAGTTGTTAAGGGCTTGAAGGGGGCTGGGTATACATATAAACAGACTTCTTCCCTCTTACTTTTTCTCTCCTATTCTCTCCTCCCCACCTCCCCGCCCGCAGCCCTCTCTGCAACAACTCCATTTAGGATTCCAGAGCACCTGACCCCAAGTCATAGCACTGACAAGTCCTGTGTTCCCTCTTCTTGGTCTGATCAGTTACCTGCCTCACCATGAGTCAAACCAACCTGATACTTTTTACCCAGCTCCTGATCTGTGTGTTCAGTTTGGCTCGCCTTAACTTCTCCTGAGTTTTGACAACTGTCATTTCAGTGTTATGGAATTTAGTCCTCAGAATTTAGTCCCTGACCACGCAGTTGTTGGAATGAGCTCTCTGTTCCTGAAGGTGCTGTTTTATTTTAACCCAGTAACCTAATCCTCTTGTAAAATGGGGCTCCATTTTCTTTAACGGGTTTTATATAATAATCTTTGGATTTAACTCTGGGACTAGTTTCAAATTTCTTTTTAATAGTTAAAAAGATCTATAAAGTACTTAGAAAGCAGTTCATATGCTCTATGAATTATTACTGATGTCTTTACATGCTACTGTTCCTTTGGCATCTTGATACATACTTAAAAATATAAAAATAAAAGAAATGTGAATTATTATTATTCTACCAAAAAATATTCAGAAAACAGAACCAAGCCCCTACATTAATTCTATCAAACCCTATACTGCAATTCCCAGGGTTGAGCACAGGTCAGTTTTAGACAAGCTTCATAGTTTTCCGGTCCTTACCTCTCTCTGAAGACAGTTACAATATAATTCTGTGTGGAAACAGTAAATCCGGGAGGCAATTGAATTTGTTGTTAATTAAGAACATATAGACAAATATTTGAAAGTAGATTATCATTGTATTTTTATGATTTTAAAAAGTAGACATGATAGGTTAATGACCACAGACAAATTTTAAAGAATTCAGAGGCCTGAGTTTGTATTATGATATTCATCCTTTAAATATCACTCTAAATATTCTGCTAAGTTCAGAGCACATTAGCATTGGAAGTTTAAGTTTACCAAACTCAAAAAACAAAGCACACACACCCATATATAAAAGGATATTTCCTACGTTGGAACTTACTAGAGTGAAACATTTCTTGCCAAACAGCAAATTGGAGACAACATAAATCAAGTACCTATTATTCGGACTTGTTTTACCATTCTCAAATATTTAAATTTGGCACCCTGTATTTGTTAGAGTCTTAAATCCTAAAATTTGAATAGAAACGGGCTGTATAAAATACTTCAAAGTGAATTTGTTTTCTAATCCTCTTCTGCAGTAAATTAGTAGAATAAACACAGTAGGAGGTAATCATCTGAAGGATGCAAATTCCCAGATCTCTGCTGTAATGGAAGCAGTAAAG